CGCCCCGATGGCTGATAAGTCAAGGGAGACAATCAGACGCTGATATCATCATACGTAAAGTAGCAAAGGTCAACAAGGTCAACATCGACGACAAACTTCTAAAGGTCACAAAGGAGGACACACAATCAACAGAGGGGCGGATCTGGCATTTGTTCAGTCACAGGGTCTTACTTATTCGAACACTCATTCTATATTTCAATTGGTAAGTGTACAAACTCAATACGAATTTGCTTCAATATTGCACATTTCCGGGGAGAAGTTAGGACTAAATGAAACCGATGTTACATTACACGTATAATTGCTTTTAAATTCTGTATTCTTTTATATCTAAATAAAAGGCGAGTGAAAAAGCCATCAAATTTACTCATACCATAAATTTTGATTAACATAGCATAAATTATGGCATATTTTGGTTTGTTTGCCTTTTAAGGGCCGTAGTATCGATGATGTATAATGTAGCATATTTTGGTTTGTATGCCTTTTAAGGGCCGTAGTATTGATGATGTATAATATGGCATATTTTGGTTTGTTTGCGTTTTAAGGGCCATAGTATCGATGATGTATGATATGGCATATTTTGGTTTGTTTGCGTTTTAAGGGCTGTAGTATCGATGATGTATAATATGGCATATTTTGGTTTGTTTGCCTTTTAAGGGCCGTAGTATCGATGATGTATAATATGGCATATTTTGGTTTGTTTGCCTTTTAAGGGCCGTAGTATCGATGATGTACTACGGAGTCACAATGCATGCTGGGAATATGGGCGGGGACTTCTATCTGAACTTCTTTCTATTGGCCGTGGTGGAGTTTCCTGCCTCCGCCCTCTCTGTTTTCCTCCTGGACAAAATTGGAAGAAAGAAGCTTCATTGTGCCTTTATGGTAGTGGGTGGCCTGGCCTGTCTATCCACCATATTTTCTGTCTTATTCGGAGACGAATGTAAGTTCTCCATTTTCAAGTCCTTAAGTTTACTAGACAGATTTCCATTTTGAAAAAAAAAAGAATTTAATATTCATCTTTAATGTTCATTTTAAGAGCTAAATACTTTTTGATGCATATTCAAATTCTAATTAAATTACTTGCATCACACATCAATATAATAAATGATCCACATTTCCAACAGCTCTTCAGCCCATAACACTTACACTAGCCATTATCGGGAAGATTGGATCCTCCGGTGCGTTTGGTGTGGTCTATGTTTTCTCAGCGGAGTTGTTTCCTACAGTAGTGCGAAATGCGGGTATGGGTTCGAGTTCCTGCATCGCAAGGATAGGCGGCATGCTAGCTCCCTATGTCGCCTCATCGGTAAAATCACTGCATTATCCCAAAACTGATAAGCAACGAGAATATCAACCCTAGCAGGAAAAGTAGCTTCGCACTTTATAAAGTGTAAACTGTCCCAACCCAGTTTATACCGTATAAATTGGGTACATAATTATATAGCTATTAGATTCATTCCTTAAATAAAATTCTTTAATGCACAGATGGAATTAAAGAAAAAAAAAGTACTGATCAAAAGGAAAACAAACAACAGTTAAACAGATTATTAAATTCTTATAAACCTTAGACACATTAACAAATGATATTGAAATAGACTAAATTGCTGAATTGGAGAACCCAATGGATGGACAACCTGAAATATGTATAAACTGAAAGAACATTACTCACATATATGTGCTTACCGTATCTTTACCTAATTTGTTGGCTTTATTCTAAATAAACGTAATTAAAATGTTGACCATTTTGTCAAGAAGTACACAGGTAACCATTTTAGCAAACCTATAGGGTGACGATACGCTACTTTTCTGTTTTCATCCCTGTCAGATTTAGCCTTAAATCTGCTAAGGGGACATCAAAAGAGAAGACGAGCGGGTCGTCACTCTTGGTTAGCGAAGAACGTAAGAAACAGTAAAAAATCTTCATTTTTTTCGTCAGATACTTTGTCAATTAGTCAATACTTTCAAATATAAATATTTCAGAATTTGAAATGTTATCAAACTCTATCCAAGAGTTGATTTTTTTTTTTTAAACTTTCGATCGCTTTGTTTAAATGAAGCTATGATAAATGTATTTTTCAGGGCGACTTAGTTGGGGGTAAATTTGGGCAGGCTCTTCCATTGGTTATTTTTGGTGCTACCTCAGTGGCTGCGGGACTGCTTTGTTTACTACTACCGGAAACTCTGAACAAAACTTTACCAGAAACCATAGAAGACGGTGTAAAGTTTGGCAGGTAAATAGCAAATCTTTATTTCAGAATGTTTCAGTGGCATTTAAAAATGCAAATACTCATTCTTTTTATTTCCATAAAGGTCTATTATAAGTTGTCAAAGCAGGAACAGGTAAAAGTGCCCTTGGTTGTTACAAGTAAATATAATATAAATATAAGTTTTACATAAAAAAGAAAACAAAAAGTCTGGAGGGGGTTTAATTTTTTTTCTTCTCCAAAGAATATAGAATGATTGCATAAAATTTTATGAAAAAAAAAGTTTTCATTTGTTATTAAAGATTATAACTTAAGGAACCAGGCCATGAACAAACATTTAATTGCATGACATTTTGTTCAAATAGGTCATATAAGCGTCATATAGAATTACTCATTTTTTTATACAGTGAACCAGAGCTTAAATTAAGCTTTACAAGGTTTATCATCCCTCCCTTTATTCAAACAAAATTTGGCTTTGAAGCTTACATCTATAGGTCAATTTAACAATTTTATAAATGAAAAGTTCTTAGCGTAGCCGTTTATCAGAGTAGGAGTTATCCCTCTTATCAGAGAGTAAATGAACCTTAATTTTTCAGACCTAAGTGAGTAAAGGAGCACTGAACACGTTTTTGTTTCTTTCTTTTTACACTACAAGTGTATTCTAATTGCGCTGGTTTTTTCTAACTCGTATATGTATAAATATTTTTTTACAGATCAAAAGACCCACAAAAGACAGAATATGATGTTTCTAAATCAACTAAACTCTGAAGGAATGGAATATGTAGGCAGCCTGTGTACAACTTATACAAAAATTACATATATATTTATAGAAATAAAACAGAATCAAAACATGGCCTTTGAAATCAGGTTGTATTGAGAGATTTGTGCTAAAAAATGTATTATATTTTCATATAAATAAATTATGGTTGAAGTGCACATTTATTGTAATTTTTTCTGTGAAATGAATATTTAAAAAAAATGATAGTAATTACAAAGAGGTCGTTAATCTAAGCTGATTAAAATTGGAATATAATTAAACTAATTTAAGCTATCTAATAAAAATAGGGAAAACCCTAAAACAAATTAGTTTCAATTTCTGATGTTAAATAGTTAAGAATCAGCAGACATTTGGTTATTTAAATTATCACATTTTTTTCTACATTTTTTTTTTAAAGTATCAAATATGCGTCACTCACTTAGAGGAAAGTGCCCCGGCCTCAGGTCAATAAACTGAAAATAGACTTAAGGTCAAAATTTGATTTTGAATATCTTGAGGTATATTCATCATTATGTGCTTTAAATTTTGCAGATTCGCATGATATTGTAATTCAAACATATACACTTGTAATAAAAATTTTGTTTCATTTCCAAAATTATTTTAAACGCTATATTGATTTGAGATTTTGACTTAAGTCTGTGCTCAGTGCTCAGTGTATGGCCATGGGGCTTGATTTAACCAAAGGATGTTCTGGTACAGGATTTTTCCCATGGAGGGGGACCATACCCAGCTGCAGTCCAAAAAGAAAAAAAAAACATCGTGGGAAAAATGTTTGTCAAATCTTTCACCTTCCAAAAATCTATTTTTGGTTACTTTACTTGACAAAATTTTTAAACTGAAAATGCGGGAGGTCGGGGAAGGGGTTTGGGTTCCTCACCCTTCCTCTTTCTGTTCTTGCATGAGAGACGAAAATATACGCTCATATTTATACTTGCATCTTCATTTAAAATTTAGGATTATTTATTTTAGTGAAAATACTTTAAAATAATACCCCCGGTATCAATGATTGTGATATATAAAAGAGAACCATTGCCGTTTGAATATAATGTTACATAAATATTAATGTAAAAGAGAACAAGAAAAATCACAGGAGTTGGGGGGGGGGGGGGTAAAGGATATAAATTTATGTATACACATTGAAACTTCTTTTTCTGTGACGTGGTGGAAATAGTCTCAACTTACAAGTACAAATTTATATACACTGTATACATGAACCTCACAGGTACACTGTAAAAAACTGTTATCAATACATATGTTAAGTACTTAATATATATGATTAGCTTTCACGATAAGTTCAAAGAAATACACATTACTTTGAGAATTCAGGGGATTTTTTATGAGCATTTTCAATTATTCAACGCCTGATTTTCAGAACCTGAGGATCGAACTACCTTATACGTATGTTATATTGTACATAAATGCATGGTATGGTTATCTAATTATACATGTCAAGAAGAGTCGGGAAAAAATTGAATTTCTTCTATTTATCAATGAAAATGAAATACATTATTTGTGAATATCTTTAAACATACAGATAAATCAGTTGTTTTATACCACAACATACTTAAACCCTTTGAACTGGTCATCACATAAATGCAAAGTTAATTTCATAATTTTTTTTTTTAATTTCAAAAACTAAAATTGCTTACTGACTTTTTTTTCACACGTTTTATTAGATACTCACACTATAGAGAGAGAGAGAGAGAGAGAGAGAGAGAGATTCACATTTCTCATGTACAGTGATGCATGAAGAGGATTAAGTACTAAGTATACTGTAGATTCATAGTAAAACAATGACAGTGTTGGTTGATGACGTGAATCATTATATCTTGATTAGGTCGTATGAGTCTACATCTAATATTTAATTGTAAACAGCTATATCCAGGTTTGGATTATTTAGTCTATTCCGGAAGTAGTTCATTGCCTTAAACATTCTGTGTAATACATGTATAGAAGCCGGATCTTACTGTAATTATTAGATGATGTGTATTTGTAATGTCACTAAGCTGATTTGTTTATCATTTTCCCGTTTGTTCTTTCGAAATAAACTGGAGATATGTTGATTTGGCGTGAGGATATATTTCTACTGCTGATGATTTTCACAATAGGTAAGTCGTTACATCCTATCCGTGTAATTAGGAATATTCAGAATAGTTAGCGTTTATGTAATTCATCAAAAAATATTTTATTAGAAAAAAAGAGGATAAGGATTCAGCAGAGAATTCATACATTAAATAGGAAGGTTGTTAGGAAAGTTCACGGACACAATCATTTACGGAAAATCTATTGTGTACTTTGAAGAATGACATATGTCTGGTAAATTTTTTTTGTTTAAATGTATGTAAAAAAAACAGGTTAATTTACTAAAATTTTAAAAATATACAATGACTTTTACCGTGCGGTCATAGGAATTTGACGTTAGCTGACGTGACAACCTGATTCCACACCTGTTCACAGACACTTGGGGTATGGAACCTCCCCCCCCCCCTTTCCATTTTTTTTTCTTTTTTGTATAAATCTGGGGTCGAGTCATCTTTTTCCAGTTTTTGTATTCTAATATGCACTATATGTTATCAATTATGTAACTGTTTTTAAATATTTTAAATATATCGTTTTCGACTGATACATACGTATCAGTCGAAAACAATATATTTAAAAACAGCTTATAGAGACAAAAAAGTTACCTTATTGATAACATATAGTGCATATTAGAATACAACGACTGGAAAAAGATGACTCGACACCAGATTTAAAAAGAAAAAAAAATGGAAAGGGGGGGGGGGTCCTTAAATCTCTCATTTCTAGAGACTTTTCATGTCCTGTTACTTTTTTCCTAAAATTTCCTTTGTGGCGTATTGGATATTGGTGAGATTTTAACATCAATATCTACGTATTTAAGTGATCAGGTATGGAAACAATGCAAAATCCATATGCGCAACGTCCATGCTATAAGCGAAATATTAGGGTATCGCAAGAGTTAATCACAAAAATGTCAATCCTTCCATTCTTGAAGGCAGTCCCCAGCAGCATCAAAAGGCATTTTAGTCTCTTTCGGACATGTTCTGTCTGCACACAATGACATTTTTTTAAAAAGACATTTGTTTTAGTATTCAATTTATTTATTGACAAAAAGACATTCAATGACGTTGTCGTTCTTTACTTTGTTTTTACGTATTAATCATCTACAATTAGCGATAGAACAGTCATATCCCCTCCAACTTCAATCAAATTTTCGCCAAATGACGTTTTACGAATTTTGTAGCGACAGGTGCAACAAAAATAACAACAAAAAAGTCTATTCAAGGTAAACTTCCGAAAAAGTGACAAGAGAAAAATTTTTAAAATCATATAATGCTGTCAAAGAAATAAATAAAATGGAGCGATTTTTATAGAATTATTTTTTGTAATTTAAAAAAAAAGCAAATGCCCTGTAAGACTAACATACATTCTAGATTTCACGAAAAGTCATTTAAAAATAAAGGATCATGAATACAATCATTTCTTTTCTAGACAAAGTCCAAGGAAGGTATGAAATAAAATTATCCACACCAAACTCGTACAAATACCGCTATTTGACTGAGTACGGAATTCCCATCACGAACTCAACATCTCTGACGTTCCAAGTTCAAGCTTGCAATGACGCTCACGTGGCTTTGAGATCTTCCGGAAGACGACCACTGGAAATCGTTCTCGGGGGATGGGACAACTCACGATCCTGTTTCCGGACTCGGGTTCAGGGGTCATGCCGGACAGAGCATCGTGGAGCGATTCTGGACTGCCAGAACTTTCAGACGTTTTGGGTCAGCTGGGGTAACCAACAGATAAATGTAGGCAAACAGGACGCGGGGATAGGAGACAGCATTCTCAGTTTCAGTCTTAGACGACCACTTTCTGATGTAGAAATAGGAATTTCCACCGGATTTGGGGCATCAGGATTATGGATTTTCAAAGGTTCTATTGCATGTATTCGCTAAAGTATTTCTTAATTATAATATCGGTGTTGAAATCAAACGTACAATCCTGCTAGAACTTTGTGCAAAAGTATGTATACTGTGCCGATAATTTCACTTCAAATTCACTGTCCATGCTATCTTGCTCATGGAAACTGATCCCAATAATTTAAGAAAAAAGGGATTAAATAATTTTTAAAAATTCATCTTTGTATTTGTTTGTTTGTTTGTTTTTTTTTGGGGGGGGGGGGGATTGTGGCTATAAAACAGTAGTTTTATTTATTAAAATACCATTAATGCTTATATGGATTCAAAGTATGGCCAGGCTGTTTTCTTGATTTGCTCAGCCTCTCTAACCTGAAAAAGTATGATATCTTTCATATTTGATTTATCAATGTGCGGATAAATGTTTTTTTTTTCAGACCCCAGGTCGACTACAGAAAGTCCCACAACTACAACGACAACAAAACGTCCATTATCGTCAAGTAATTTGTTTATTTATTTTAAAGAGACAGAATTAAATAATCCTGTATCAAGTCAGTGCTTCAGACATTCTAAAAATTATAATTTTACATTGAAAAGATTGCACATATTCAAATTGATCATGATTTAAATTTTTCAATTATATTTACCTAAATTTCAAACACCTTTTTTGTATTAACACTCAATATCAGATATTCGGTTACTATTAATCTTGCATTCAAGTATGTACAACATTCAACTTCAATAATAACATTTAGGCTATACCATTATGAAGTACTCTTAATGAAGCCAATTTTCTTTATTTTGTTATACATGTACATTACAGCTAATGTCCAGCTGGCCCCAGTGGTACAGGAAGTTTCAGAGGGCGGAAGTAGTAACGTCAGTGTAGCGGTCACTACTGGGATACTATCGGTCATCGCTGTGGTCTTAGTCGGGGTCTTTATATGGAGAAAGTATCGGAGACCACGAGGTTTGTAGTCGGATAATTGAAACCTTAATCAAAATTTACAAAAGCCATTCAAAAGTCTATATCAACCATAACTGTTATCTTTATAGTGAGATTTATAATAATGACGTCATTAAGCGTACTTTATATCTTTTAAAATTATTTCTAATGACTAGGGGATTTTGAATAGATTGGTAATAACTTTCTTTTAATTTGGCTTTAATGGAAATGATTTATATCCAACAACTAGGAGTATGGGTAAGCAATGTAGATTAAACCATTCACATAATTAAAATAGTACAAAAACTAGTTTTCTTAAACAATTCCTTAGTTTTCCTTAAAAATTTGTAAAATCACTACAAATGATTTGCCTAAAACCGAAACTTTTACATCTAGTTAAGTATCATTCAATACAGGGACGTAGCATCGTTTCTTGGAAGTGCGGGGGGGGGGGGGGGCAGCAAAAGAAAAAAAAATCTTTTTAAAAAAAAAAAAAACTTGACAAGCAAAAGTTATCCAAACTCGAAAATCCTATTTCGTAGGGGGGTTGGGGTGTAGGTTCCAACTTTTTTCACTACCGAATTTTATTCATACACTACTTCAAAACCCTTATTTGACTATAATGCAACAAAAAGTGAAGGGAGGGGGCAACCGGCCTTTCAATGAACATTCCAATAATACCATATAAATAGAATTTTTAGAGAGGTTTCAATTTTGGCATTATATTAGCAAGAGTTTTGAGATCGCTAAAATTGGAATATCGCTAACAATTTACATGTATACCGTATCACTCGTTGTAGATATCTCTCTTGACATTATAAAATCGCTAAATCTACTTTTCGCTAAAAATATATAATAATTTTTTTTTAGATAAATCGCTAGATCTGCGTCTCGATAAAAATGCCGCTTGTATGGTAAAAAAAAGTGGGGAAAAACTGAGGGACCAGCCCCTCTCCCTCCGGGCCCCACTGCTACGTGCCTGCAATAAATATCTTATTTAAATTATAAACCTATACACTGTATTATGGATGTATTCAGACAGTTCACAAATAGACCATACATTGTACCTAATATACTTATCCGATATATAAGTCATACAGTTTATTGGTGTGTCTTCATTATGCTTTCATATTGTATGCCAGTCTAACGCTCAATCACATGATCATTTGCAGGTCAGGGTTCTAACATAGGATTACAGAATCCGATGTTTAATGCAAAGGAAATGAATACGTACGAGATCATCCGAAGGTCACATCCGGAAGTTAACATGTACGCCGATTTAAACCCTCTGGACGTCACAAAAATTCAAGACAGTGCCGTATATTATGACACAGCTAAGCCTTTCGACGAAAATAATATGTACTTGCCTATACAGGAATATTCAAACGGGGACAATTCCAGAGATACCCGAAATTCACGAATTTCTCGGATGTTTAGTCATACTGATTATGACGTCATACCAGCCATGGAATACCAAAGTGCCAAAGTGGGACAACAGAGATATGTAGTAGATGACACGTATCTGGTGCCCAGACCATCCATGAAGAAACATTAAAGCTATTGATGAATTTATTTTTTCTCATAGTTCTCGCAATGAAGCGAGTTTTAATACAACAGATGCCAAAATGCTCATAAGAAATAAGAAGTAATTTCTTACATACTTTTCGATTTAATTTTTCTCGACAATCTGTTCAGCTTATTAATGAATAAATAAATTCTTTTTATAGGACATTGCACTGATATTGGAGAAAACAAATCTGCCTTAATTTTACTCATAAGCCCAATTCTCTCAAAGTGTGTAAATGTGATAATTCTGTGATGCGTTCACGAGCTAGCAAACTATGTAAAAATCAGTATTTACTTGGCAATTTCCAACTGCTATAGAAATACTTGCTATGTTGGTCCGTTTGGTCCAAAATTAAAATCTAGGCTTTTTGCATCATTGACAGTGCTTTTTCAATAAAATGGAATTAATATATTTACGCATCTTCTCACTGGTCATTTGCAAAATTATTTTGTTAAAATACATTCTGATTGTACACAAAAGTACTCTGAAGTTGATATTGAAAAGATGCTTGAGTTACTGATTGACAATATCTATGTATCTTTTAGAGACAAGGTCTTCCAACAATTTGTCGGAATTTCTATGGGTATCAATTGCGCCTCGTTATTAGCAGACCTATTTTTGTAATTATATAAAGCATAGTTTATTCAAAATTGTATACATTAGAAGAAGAAAACACTTGATGACCGTCAAAGCCCGCCCTTCCCCCAGGGCGTCATGATTTAAACAGACTTGAATTTACCCAAGGATGCTCACAATAAAATGTGAATCATGACTTTGATGTTTTTGAGAAGAAGAATTTTCAAGATCTCCCTATGTATTCCTATGTAAAATTTTGATTTTCCATAGTGTCCCTATCCTTCCCCTTGGAGTCATGATTTGAACAAATTGAATCGACGCTATCTAATGATGCTTCCATACAAATATGATTATGATTTTTGTAATCTCGGTGATATTCGTCGAAACTAAAAAAAAATGTACTGAAGTCTATTTCGAATCTCATGGCAGTGCGACACAAAGTCCGAACTTTGATCGCTTGTTTCGATCTGAATGGGTTGAATTGTACTTCCTGCCCGATTCAACTTTTCCTTTTTGACTTCCTTTTACTACTACTATTTATCTTTGTTCAACTTTTACTATAATTTGCTATAGAATTAACCATAGTACTAAGTATTTGAAGCAGACTATTCTTGACCTTGACTGGAACTCTTCAGCTCTTCCGTGTCGAAGGTTTCAACAAATATGTCAGAGCTATGAAAAATCAACAACTTGATTATGGGTGGGATTTAATCCTTTTAAAGGTAAGAAATGAACTTTTTTTGACAAGGAGTTAAAAGGATGTCCAAAGCAAAAAGCTGAAGCGGGCATTTGTGTCGCAATGGTCTGAGATTTAGAAGAGAAATCCGTACAAAATACTTGGTCTCGACGAATTTTGCTTAGATCAATGTATTTGCAGATGAGAAGTAATTTCAAGATTTTTCCTATGCATTCCTGTGTAAAACTTTGAACGCCTATGTTGGCTCTACCCTACCCCTAGGAGTCATGATTAAAAAAAAATGGATCTGCACAACTCAAGGATGCTTTTTAACATGTTTTACTTCTTCTGGCCCAGTGAGAAGAAAATGGTTTTAATGACCTCACCTATTTTCACTATTTCTTAATTATATCCCCTTCAAAGACTGGGTGATCCTTTATTTGAACAAACTTGAAACCCCATTACCGAGGAATACTCTATGCCAAGTTTAGTTGAAATTGGCAAAGTTGTCTAGAAAAGAAGAAAATATGAAAAGTATATGGCAATAAAAACAAAGCTGGCAACGCTGACGACAAGGACAACGACAGACAACGAAAAAAGTTTGATCCGTAAAACTCACTTGAGCCCTCGGCTCATGTGACATAAAATGTAAAATAATAACGATGAATACCGAGGAATCCTCTTTCCCTCATGGTTAATCAAGAACAAACCTTCTTTTATCGTATAAGGATTACATAAATCTTTTATTCAAATGAGCTTTAACTGATGTAAAGGATGGAGAAAATACTCATTAAAAAAAAAAAAAAAGATTAATTCCTTAATATTCCTTTGTGGACAGTATGATCACTTTATAAATGAAACAGACTTCCTCCAAGTAAAATTTCATAATTTTCATTTTTATAAAACAGATACTATTCATGACATGATTTATCAGATATTTTTATTATGTATTATAATCAACAGAAAATTTCAAGCTCACGAGTGTCTTATTTGCAACAAAAAAAAATCGATTTACTCTGAAAATCATCAATTTTTTTGAATTTCGTACGTGTTTGATAATTCATGTTATACATTGTGGTACTTATACAAACTAAATAATGTATCTTTTATATTCAGGAAAAGTAATTAATATGTGGTATTGATAAAAACATTTAAACTATAAATAAGAAAATTCAAACTAGAAATGTAAGAGCACCATAATGTAATACACCATAACCTGTGAACTCATGTTCAGTGGTGTGTTTTAGTCTTATTTGTACATAATTGCTATTTCGGGCGTAACTTAAATTAAGCAACTCTCGACTCGATTGTGAACCGGAAGTTAACCTTTGGAAGCTTTTTTGTTTTGACCTACCCAGTGCATGATGCATCCAAATGGGCCCTCACATATTTTGCATTGATAAATTGACTGTTATTGAAGGACAGTCTTGTTGTAGTTGCAAGTTACCACTGCGATCAGAAGTGCAATAAAAAAGTATGATAACATGAAAAGTTGAAGACATCTCTTGTGTATATTTAATATGGAAAAAATACACTTATACAACAAAAACATAAAAAATCTATAAAAGAATTTACAAATTTATTACTTAGAGGACCTTTTTTCTTATTATAAGTGTATGCTAACAACACACAAGTATTTTTATATCTAATACACCAAATAAAAAAAATATGATTGTGAAACACTAATCTCCCCCTATGATAGGTCATTGTCATGGTCAAGGTCAAAGGATCAAAATGTTGAAATTCCGTAAGGAAAACAGATGTAGAATATGAAAGCCTGACTCCAAATATTCAAAAAGTTATGACCAAGTGTATTTTGTAATAGTGGGTCAAACTTCAATGTCAAGGACAAAATTAAAGTTCAAACTGTTGGTACCTCAGGGAGAAAAATTTATAGCCTAGCGCTATTTTCACACGTTATTGCCAAGGTTCATTTTTTCAAAAGTAATTCAATCTCAAGAATGAAGGTCAAATAGTCAAAATTGATGATACTCAGAGAATGCTCTCATCCGAAAAGATATACAATTTTGAGACAATAAATCCCTAGCATCAACTGTTCAATAGTAATGACAAAGGTTATAGTTTTTCGAAAAAAGGCCAAAATTCAAGGCCAAAAGATCAAAAGTATTGGTACCCAAGGGGATAACATGAGAAATATGAAAGCCATAGCTACAAATAAATTAAAGTTATTACCAAGTTTAATTTTTTTAATAAGCCGGACTCAGGTCAAAGTTAAAAAGTCAAAAAATATTTGTATTCCAGGGAAATCCTATCACAAGAAATACACATGTGATGTATGGACGTCTTAGAGCTAACCATTTAAAAGTTATGACAAAGGGTGAAGTTTGGTAAAATTTTGCAAATGTTAATCAAACTCCAATTGCAAGGTCAAAGAGTTAAATTTGTTATAACCAAAAGTAACGTCTTGTCACAAGAAATTCACTTGTAAGATATCCATGTAAAAGCCAATCTAAAGTCATGGGCTAGGTACAATCAACTAGCTAAGCAGACAGATGGAAGTACTATCAAAAACTATACACTCACGAAAGTTCGATTACAATAACGAGGTGAAAAAAAATTCATATAATGAAACAGTCATTGCATGGTTTTTTTTCTTATTCTTTTTTTATATTAAAAAAAAATAATAAGACACGTAAGTTTTATGCAAATGATTTGTAAAAAGTAGTTTAACATTTAAACTCTACTTTCTGTTTGTATTGTCTTTTTCGCCCGCAAGCATTTTAACACTTGTCCATAATCCAGACCAAATGATGTTAATTTTTCTTCGTCTAGTTCAAAGAATGTTTGAAGACAGTCGATTTTATTTCTATATAAAACCCTTTTACAATCCTGCAGATTGTGTCTTTTCAAGAAAAACGTAAACGTTTTAGCGTCAAAACCTGAAACAGATTCATACACGAATATGAATTTAGTAGTTTGCAAAATATTCAACGTTACAAACGACGAACTGCAATGCAACTCTTTAAAATATAACATCCACATAAAAACTTTTTACCTTGTTTTACTGTCACGTGACTTTCAGAACTTTTTATGCTTAAGGTCGAAGTTGTAAGAAGTTTTGTGTGCTGGGGAATCTGCCCCTGCATAGTTAAGAGAAAGATTCAACATATCTCTGCAGACATTGCGTATTATACAGGTATATAAAGTATATTATAATAAAACAATAACTTTTTTGCTCAAATAACTTACATGACGTATTGTTTATTCCATTTATTTCAAAATTCATACAGTTTGCTTTGAAAACGAGTGTGTATTACGCATAGTACATAAACTTGTTGCAGAGAAATAGAGTATTCAGTTTTGTATAAATAATCGGTATTTGGAAAGTGTCAAAAATGAGAATTATATATATGTATATAGGCGACTCCTTATGAGGAGCACACAGGGGTTGTGACTGATCGGCAGGGGATGCTCACTTCTACATGGCACCTGATTCCACTTCTGATATATATATTTTAGAGGTCCGTATTTGCTCTGCTCCTAATTTGTTTTGTTTGACTGGACTTTTGAGCTTGAATACTGTTTGTTATCGCCATATATTTCATGATAATAATTGAACAATTAGTATTTCTTCTTGTACAATGTAAAGCTTTGAAATTTCAAGAAGTATGCTTAGGCATTTAACCAAAATCTCTGTCTTTTATTGAAAGGGAGTCGCATAACATACTTTCAACTTTTGTGAGTATTTTTTGTTCCAAAAGAAAAAAAAAAATAGAAACTTGTTAAAAAAAAAAAGAATCATTATAAATACCGTAGTAAAGGGTTATACTAGAAAAAACGATGCTGGAAAGTATTTCATATGTCCAAAGAAAAACTTTTAGTAGAATTTTTATACATGTATATTTTTGGAAATTTGCAACAAGTATGAAAAGATGCAAAGAAAGCTCTTTTAAAGGTAAAAATGTTTCAATTACTTTTATTCAAGCCCCAGGACCATAAAACTAAATACTGATCTCGGTTTTTATTTTACAAAAGGTATTCGATAATATAAAACAGAGTTTGAGATTAAAAAAAAAACTAAGTTCACTTATGTTTTATTGCCCCTGAGCCAGATATTAGAAATGAAGATGTCGAATTATTCCTTCATACATGGGTGTACAACGCATAATAGTATTTCATTACTTCATATGAGTTCACTTATGTTTTATTGCCCCGGAGCCAGATATTAGAAATGTAGATGTCGAATAATTCCTTTACACATGGGTGTACAGAGCATAGAATATCTCATTAATTTATGTCAAAGGATTAACTGGAAAATTCAAGTTTTATTGGCGACAAAAATGTGGAATGCACTATGACATTTTTACACAAAAACTGTTGGGAAATTTCTTTACAAATCATTTTCATTACTCTTATTCATCATGTATACCAAAGGAAGAATCCGGGGATGAAACAGGTGGAGAGGTTCTTGTTCTGTCCCTGTGGGCGTTATATGTAACTGAGAACCAAATATTAAAAGCTTAGACAAGCAGAAATAATCATGGCCGTAGGAACTGGGGGGGGGGCACGGGGGGAAAACATGGCTACTATATGCCTGTGCCCCCTCAATGATGATGTCAGATGACCTTTTTTTTGTTTTTGCTTGTCAAGGAATTTTGGTAGTTGATAGTGCCCCCCCCCCCCCCCTCCCCAGCTGAAAATGTATGGTTGTGCCCTCTCAAAGTGAATTTGCTTCCTACGGGCCTGATAATGATTACACTTATATGACTGTGTTAAAACATTCATTCTTTTTTCATCGAAATGACTTACCTTTCCTTTTCTTCTTTTTCTTGAATCTGTAAAGATAGAATGTTAATTGAATTGAAATATATATGCTAGTAATTCAGTCTATCCCTAATGAATTGTGATAAAGCTATTACATGTATATTGATATGTCGTTTTCATTGAGAAAAATGTTGTGATACACACAAACTCAAAGAGAGAAATTTTTTTTTTACCGTAATCTTCAGTGATTTTCTGTATTGCATTCGCGGTTGATTCCTCCCCATTCAAGATTGTTGTCTCTTCGGAAAATTGCAAGCCTCCAATGTAAAGGAAAAAAGATGAATTATTATATCTGCCACTATTTTTTTTTTAATAATATGCTTTGCTTTCATTATTTCTTTCTTAAGAAGTTAATCCAATTTAATTTCTTCTGGTTTTCGTTATGGCTGTAGAACCTCTGTTGGAAAAGTGTCACAGGATTTTGAAAATGATTACATGTAATTAGAACAAGCTTTTGTTATTCAGTTTGAAATAAATTCTGGTTGTCCCCATCATTCTATGTAACTCGGAACATTATCAAACAAAGAGACTCGCGATCGACAACTTCAACCACCTTTAGTGGTAGAATGAAGGGTCACATTGACAATAAAGAAAATAACAACAACTTTTTTTTTCAAATACGAAGGCCGTTCAAAAATTGCGCTATTATTTACTCTTACGGACGTCAAATATATATGTAGTTATGAAATTTCACAGAAACATTTTTTTTTAACATTCAAATTAATTTTTGGCCAAATTTTTTGATTTTTATTAATTTCTCCTAAAATTATTGCTGTTTTAATATCGTTGATGGTGATGTATGGAGCACGACCAAAAAAAAAAAAAAAAAAAAAAAAAAAAAAAAAATAAATAAATAAATAAATAAATAAATAAATAACAGACGGGCGGATCCAAAATTTTACTCATTAATGTTCTATAATTCGCGATATTTTCCGACAATTTCTAAAAGGTATCTTTTTATTGTTCTATTATTATGTATTTAGATTTCTGTCGTAATAATTGAAGTACAAAGAGAAATATGGTGATTTTTCTCCGATGGGATTCCTGTGAAAACACCTGGAAAAATAACGTCTCGTGAATTAACAGAGCATCGCACTTTTATCAAATTTTGTGTAATTCTCGAGAAAACGCCACCATGGACCCAAAATATGCCTGATAAATCCTGAATAAACCAGAGTATTCCCAACATTTGTCTACAAATTGCAAAGTGGAATTTTAGACGGTAAGACCTAAGTAAAAGGCAATACGGGAGGGGACGGGAAGACAATCATCGATGAAAACTTTATCTGGACTGTTAAGAACATGATTGAGAGTGACCAACGTCACACAATATTTCAGAAATATCGGCAGCGTTGGGGCTTAAAACAAAAAGGAATATGCTATACTAGTTTTATAACTTTTAAACATGATAAGAAATTGTACATGGATGTTTATGCTGAGCGGATAAGGTGATCCAAACTGTAAACTGTACAAGATCGAACTCTGAGGGAAAATGTTGAGAAAATGAAAGCTCACATTTTTTTTTAATGCCCGTGACGTCGAAGATATGTCCTGTTAAATCATCCAAAACTGATATCAATTTACAACATGAAATTTTGATGACCATATAGGTAAAGATTCTTTTTTACATGTATTATGTGTGACTTTTTGCCCGATTATGTCATCATATATTTTTTCTGTGTAAGAAGTCCGCGTAATTTTTGAACGGCCCTCGTATCACAGTTCATCGAGTTTTTTAATTGAACAATCGTTAGCAATATATTATTACTGAATAATTTGAGTTCTTATTAGCATGAAAACAATAAGCCAACATATCAAAGTATCAGGAAATGCTCCCAATATTTTTCAGAGGAATTTGAGTCAATTTGAAAATATTTTCTGAAAGTCTTTGTCAAAGAAATTTAATTTTCAAAATGACTAACAACATGCAAATATAATTACAAGTAATTAAAAGTACTTTTTGTATACATCTTTCTCTTAAAATATGAATAAATATTAACGTTTTGAATTTATTTGAAAATGAAAAAAAAAAAAAAAAAAAAAAAAAAAAAAAAAAAAAAAAACACCATTTCATACTTGATATCACAACTGTACATACCTGACTTGAACCAAAACTCAAGAAGTTGTACTATTTTTGGCATCTTAATTTTGTTCATCTAGATATACTTATTAATATTTATATATTATTTATATAACTGGGAAATTTTGAATTACTTTGTCTGCATATTGTCCAAATTATTACAGTTGTGTATTTTGTTAGCTTCTTTTTATAAAGAAAACAAACTCTTGTATGATGTCATAAGACGTAGGGTCTACAGCAAGTATATATCTGATGCCAGTAACATGTCTTGAAAAAATTCCAATTGTCCTCAAAACCTTTCTGTTTTATTTTCATCCTCCGTAATTCAGAGGAAGATTTTTTTAACACTCTTTTTCTAAGGTAACTATTCAGACCACAAATAAGGACCCACCTTAACTGAAAGGGGCTCAGGAGAAAAGAAAGCTAAAATTGCAACTGCAATCTCATTTAAGTTGTGCCAAAAAAACCTGAATCCCTAAGACTTAAATTTGTTTCCATGTCAATATAGTATGTTACCCTGCTAGTTTTTGATTTTTTTTCTTTGAAAAGTCTTATTAAACGTTCAATCCATATTTCATCCCTCCAAAGCCCGATGGAATATGGTTTTAGGATGATGAACCTCCAATATATTTGGGTTTTGTATTTATAATAATAATGTAGGCGCAAAAATATTTGATATCATTTGTCTATTTAGATATCTTTCCTTGCATTTGGACAGTTAAATGTCAAGGTTACCGCCAACGGATAACATATGTACGACATCTGACATCAGACAAGCTTTATTAAGAAAAGTTCAGCTATCAAGTATGTTACATGTATATTTTTGTTGATGGACTATATAAATGTTGGGTGTCCATTACTGCCAATATATTTTTGATTTAATATAATTCTTCACAGCTACCCTTTTCCTATTTGGTAGGTACACTTACATGCAAGATATGATCTGATATTTGTTTAAATTGTCAAAAACGTTTTAAGGAAGAGATTGCAAGAGTCCATGAAAAATATCGTCTCTATGATTTTTTCTCATTTTTACATATAATTTGCCTTACGTTAATTGTATCATAATATGAAAATGTCAACCAAGGTCATCAGGGTTATAAGAAAGATATGGTTGCCATGGTAACCACCGTTTTTCAATATTTTGATATTTATGTAGTGAAATTTTAAGTATGCCATACAGGTATCAAAATTGAAACAAATTAAATAATTTTCACCAGATATTAAATAATATGCTTTATATTCATCGAAAATAAAAGTTGTATCGGAAACTATTGATAGATGTACTAATGCCACAGTTGCTTTGGGGAGTAGTCATTGTAAATTTGCAGTAATATTTTCACCCCAAGAGCAGTTTTCAACGTCTTGACAAAAAATTGCCCAATGAATTTTCCTAAAATTAATATATTTTGTAACAATTATTGTAAGTGACTTATGGTTAAAATATGAAGTGGGGTCATCACATTCTTTTTTAAGCTACATGCATTTCAATACCCCCCTTCCTAAAATATTAAAAGATTTCATAAATTTTAATCTGATGGTTTGTTGCTGAACCTTTAATATGCGTAATCTGTTAAAAAAAACTATAGAAAATACGTATAGATTAATATTTTTTTTCCTGAAAATCTTGTGGTGGTTGCTCATTTTATACGTAGAGCAGAATGATCGCAGAATGATATAAGTATCATGTACACAAAAAACAACAATATGAATATATTTTTTTTATTTCCCCATCTCCAAAATATTCATTCCGTTATTATATCAATATAAGTATATACATTCTAAACCAGTGCACAGTGGTCTAAGGGCCAAATTGTTCATTCTCTGAACACTCATCGAGTTCTCTGCACTGTGACTTGGTATCGGAAAGGGGGGGGGGGGGCAGTCACTTGAACACATTGAATGAATAGGTTATTTCAGAGAACTTGTACCTGCAATATATACCGTATATAAAAATCCTAGCTATTATCTTATTTGACAAATTTTAGTGATTTACTATTTAATATTTACATTTGCAAATATTTTTCCTTCAGATTCATTGCAAGTTAGAAAACAATTCAATTTCTTATGAACTAGGTAAGCCTACATATCTCCATTGTGACGTCATAATGCCACACTTGACGTCAAAACTATAGTGCAAACTGTTTTGTTTAAGAAATAAACAACAATGTTAAAAAGTTCTCTGGGAAATGAACTTGGTTGGTCATGTGATCAAATCCTGTGAAGCCCGAAGGGCTTCTCAGAAGATTTGATCACGTACCAACCAAGTTCATTTCCCAGTGAACTTTTTAACATTGTTGTTTATTACTTTTATTTACATTTGAGACGAATATTCTGAAAAGAACTGCATTTATTACACGAACGGCCCGTCGTATTGCTATGTTGTGACGCGCAATGACCTAGAAGCTGTTTGGTCTTGAGAGTTCGCCTCGCTCCAACATTTGAATACTTACATTGATGTTCAGCAGTCCAGTTCAGGAAATATCTGTTCATAATGAAAAAAACAATGATCGCTACTGGGAATAATCTTATTATTATTGTATGAGTTCTTTATATATGGAGTCAAAAGCGGTGCTATCGTCTTCAGTTTACATACCTTCAAAGGAATTTCGGGTTAAAAAGGTAAGCGTGATTTTAGGTTAATTAGAAACATTCTTCACACCGAAGAAAGATTTAATGATCATTTGTTGAACGCAAAAATAAATATGTTTCAAATATTTTATCTTTTTCATCGCTTTAACGGCTTAGAAGTTCCGAAACCAGTGTCACTGTGACAGAAATATGTAGACAAGATATCGTCTCGCTGTGTGATTCGGTCACGCCATGACCTCTGACCCCCTAATAAGTTCATACAGAATTGAACATATTTTCTCTTCAATAGGTTCATCTAAGAAAAATATTTGCAAATGTAAATAATTCAAAAATAATCGTAGAATGACATTTATGCGCTTCATGCTCACGCGGTTCATGAAATATGCTGAGGTGAAGCGTCCTTGTTCATGTCCTCGTGAATTTTAAAAAAATTAATTCATTTTTCAAATATATTCCCGTGAGCATGATGAGTTGAAATTTTTTTTTTTTTTTTTTTTTTGTTTTGTTTTGTTTTGTTTTTTTTTTATAAATGTATATGCTCAAAATAATTTTCTCTCTCTGGTATACCTGGTACCTCCGTAGTACCTCGATTGTCAGAATTAACCTCTCTTAGTTTCGTCTGTCATTCTTACACGCGTATTTTTTGCTAGATTTGTGAAAACTTACAAAAAGAAACTTTTCTTTTCTGTAAGAAGAAGTGTGTTAAGTTTCAATTTTTTACCAAATACGACGCATAAAACACTTTACCACCACAAATGTTTACGCAATAATGTGCCGACGATTCAATGTTTACATGGTCGATGTAAGAGTTGAAAATGCTAGAGAAGATATTACAGAGGAAAACAATTTCCTCTGCGATATTTTTAAAAATACGTTCATGTCCAGCATGCGACCTCAAACTGGTCTATACACGTATATGTGAAAATCGCATTCGTTTATCTGTCCATCCATATAGGCCTATATTCATTATAATCACTGAGAAAATCACGCCGTCTGAAGCTTCTAGGAAATGAATATCTATTCATAGATGTAGATCCTATAGGAAAGAAACCGATCTCAAACAAAATTCTTATATTTTAAATAAAATTAGAGGACATAAAGATCCAGATATGAATTAAATTTATTCATGAAATAGATTTCAGTGTTCAGAACTAAGACAAAAGGTAGACGTGTCAAAACGAAAAAAAAAAAAACCAACAAAAAAAGAAAACACAGGGATAAAAAAAATCTGCGTACGCTCACCAACACTCTGCAACATCACATATTTATCTTATTCTTTATCTGTTTTAAAAATATTGCCACGAAGATCTTTTGTCATGGGCGTAATCATAATCACGCTCCTTATTCAGCTGTTATTCCGGAAATGGTTACCGTAAATCTTCTTTTTTTAAACATCACATGAGTTGATCACGTGACGCCTTGCAATCGCTTCCTTAAGCAATAATATTGTACCTTCTGCATGAATTCTATATTATGAAAATTTTGATTTTTAGAAAATTACCTCTATGGTTCTCTTGTTTCATTTTTCGACAAAGTATACCCAACACAAGTGAAAGCAGAAGAAACAGTACTCCACAGATAGCCGCCAAAATTATTGAGAGACTGAAAGAGGATGCTAAGTGTTATTGATTTTCACTGATAATTTTCCATTTATGTTTGATGAACGAGAATTCTATAGAAATGACGCAATGAAAAAGAAAATATTTTTAATGATGTTATCTCTACTTTTATCGCCAATTCTAAGATTGTGGTCTTTTAAGGTAAACTCACGCATTCCAGTAGCAATCTCCTGATAAATAGGTCGTGGATTTATTTCCTTTATGTTTAACTATCTTGCTACAACCCCCATCTAGAAAGTATAAAATAATGAAAGTTTATAAAAGTTATTTATTAGAAATCATTTAACAACGCAAAAGATTGATACCATTAAAATTTAATATACATGTACTCAGTTGGTTATAAGACCACAAGAAAATCATTAGACCGGTATCTGATTAAAGACCAATGTTTTTAACCATACGGGTTCCTAAGGTAAAGGGAAGAACTTAATTCAATAAGCATCGACAGTCGTGCAGACCATGCACAGCTGCTCTTTATATGCATACAGAAAACACAGAAAATCGATGACTTTTACGGTGGAGTAGGCATACCCGTGCTTTTAGCAGTAGATTTTGTGACAAGCTAGCTTATCTGGAGAAAATGTATAGTTTTATAATTGACAACTGCAGAATCTTTCGTTTAAAATTTCAAAATCTTGAAACAAAGAGAATGTAGACCTTAAGGAGGTTGGATCCTGCCATCAAAAGTAATGAGAATTTTTTATCAAGTATATTTTTAGAATTTATACACATAGCTTAATTAAAAATCAAAACAAAAAAGAGGGTTAATGCGCTTCTTTTGGCGCTACAGAGCATTTAGTTTGACCTTTTTGCATCGTAAAAACGTCTTACACATAAATCATTTTTTAAATTTTTCCTCCAATATTTTTTATTCAAATAAATTATGGGAACAAACACAGTCTTACTTCATCTTGAATAGACACCTTAAAATTTGCAACAACGAAAAAATTTTTTAATTACTCCGCATGTTCAATTATTTGACCTTTTTGCACTCAAAAAAAAAAAAAAATCATTTTTCTGGCGTTATTTGAAAGTAATGAAATTTTACTGAATTTAAGAAGAGTGGTTAAAAGTATCTTATATATTCAGAAAAAAAAGATTAGAAGTGGGATCTGTGATGTTAATTTTTAGATATTACTAAAATAGTGCCAATTTTAAGCTTAAATTAGGGCTATTTTTTTTTTTTTTTTTTTTTTTTTTTTTGATTTTCAGGCTATATTATCAAATTTTATGATAGAATTCATGACAGTTTATTTAATATAAAATTTAGGACCAGTATAAAACAGTTCACTGCACCAAATAACTCTGTGTGCAGACGGCATGTAAAAAAAGGAATCCAAACGTAACATACTTTAAATACTTGTAAAGAGAAAAAATGATCATTTTCTTCTTAAAAAAAACCTTCTGCCACAAAATATAGTTCCTCACTTAATGCTTTTGGTATTGAATTTAATCATGGAGTTTTAACTGAATATAGTTGATGCCGGTTGGTGCCAGGTAGAAAAAATACTTTATCTGGCGGCCGCCAGATAACTTATTTGGGGGCCGCCAGAAAGTTATCTGGCGGCCACAAGATAATTATTTGACGGCCGCCAAATAATTTTCTGGCGGCCGCCAGATAAGTTTCTGGCGGCCGCCATTTTATCTGGCGGCCGTCAGATAAATTATTTGGCGGCCGCCAGATAAAATATTTTTCTACCTGGCACCTACCGGCTACCGTAGAATCCAAATTTATTGTAAGAATTAAAACATTACGCAGAATGTTTGAAATATATGTTAAGATAAAAATCTTCTCAAAAGCTCAGGAGCGAACCTCGTTAAGAAATATTAAAAGTCGACCTTTGTATTTAAAAGCTGTGAAAACGCAATCTGTTAATAAAAAGAGGGAACAGTCATCGAAAATTTATTTTATCACATATTTCAGAGAAAATGTTTATATTCCGTTCAGATTAAACATAGCTTCACCCTAACGCCAGATACATAATCCAGGTTGATGGCATTTAAAAATTCACAAATTTGTAAGAAGTACCCTAGTTCTTCATAACTATGCACCTGGTTAAAGATTTTTAAAAGAATAAAAATAACACCTTTTCACTAGACAATCCATACCCGCCCTAAACACCAGAAAGTCTGGCCCTGGGACCATAAGTTTTAAAAAGTTTCAAAGAAGCATCCTTGTTCATAATAACTAGACGAAATGCCCAGAAGAAAGCAAGACTATTTCTATAGAATCCACGTTAACTTTTCTTTTTACTGTATTATTAAAAGACCCTCATCCTTACACCAGACTTTTGACCCAGGGACCACGAAACGTGCTATTTTGGGAAAAAAACACCCTTGCAAACTATAATTTTACATTTATTTTTTTTTTGTTTTATAACCATCAGCAGAAAAAAAATAATTTCAAAGAAAATATGATTTTTAAACTGTATAATCAATAGGACCGCCGTTTTTTCACTAGAACACATGGGCCATAAATTTGACAATTAAGAAAGGTGCATCTTTGCTTATCATAATCATGCACCTAATTTATTAACATAATATTCAGGGGCAGAGAAAAAAGATTCAAAGAATTAATGCATTTTAACTCCTGATCAAGATGCAGTTAAATTCAAAATTTTGGAAGAAGCACCATAGTTCATCGTAACTTTGCACTTTGTTTATTTAATATCAGGGAATAGAAAAGGATTCTCAAAGAAATAATGCACTTTCACTATATGATCATTATAGTTTACCCTAGCACCACAACCCCTGGTCTTGAGACCATGAATTTTGAAGTTCTGGTAAAGTGATCAGTGCTTATTACAACCATATCAGTATAACACGACGACTGCTTGATGTCTAGAAGTAAAAAAAGGTGATTTTGAATATTGCAATAATTCATTTTGATAGATTAAGCCAAATAATTTCCCTTAGGTAACAGGGGCCACAAGTTTCCAGGTGTGCACAACTTGTGGAAAAAAACGATTAAACATTTTCCCTTTTTATAAACTCATATGTGCCAGTGATATCCAGAGAATGGAAAAAGAAAAAAAAAATATTTGTATTCTAAAGCCAAAACTTATAGGTCTCTTATAAATTACCTATGATTTCCCTGAACGTTTTCATCATCATTGCAGTATTTTATCTATGACGTCGCAATATAGATATTAAACGTTCCGCTTAGTTTAACGTCATAATCATTGTTACTATGTTACCGTTGTATACATTTTTGTAATGTAAAGCTTCTGAAGATTTTTAATGAAAGCGCTAAAGCTTTACGGAGGATTTTTGTGTCTTCTTTTAATATCTTTTAATATATATATATATATATATATATATATATATATATATATATATATATATATATATATATATATATATATATATATATATATATATATATATATATATATATATATATAATACTGCTGTTTGTACATGAGAGTAAGTTTGCGCTTCTAAATTTCTTTGGGCAGCCCATTGGTACACAATTGATATTCAGTTCTTCAATTCTTCTTCCATGCTGGTCAAATTCTAGACAGCGTCCTAAAATCATAGGAAACTATATATATATATATATACATATATATATATATATATATATATATATATATATATATATATATATATATATATATATATATATATATATATATATATGTATATATATATAAATAGAGAGAGAGAGAGAGAGAGAGAGAGAGAGAGAGAGAGAGAAACCCGAATACTAAGGATAATTGGAAGTGTAATTGATTCTGTAGTCTGATCCTTGTGTTCTTTATAAACCTTTTTATTCCGATATTTTAAATAATCTGATATCAAGAGGTTTATTCTCAGACCAAACAAATTTGAGATAATTGGATTAAATACGTACGTATATGTATATACGTAGATGGAATAAACAAATTCAAGTTTTAGACTCCCAAATATAATATGTATTAGATAGTTCTCATGGCAATAAACGCATAATATGGCAAATACATGTCTGAGTTCAGAATGTCATTTAATATTGACATCTTAATGATTTTATTTATTTATATATGAAGAAAACCGATTACATGGGTGTTGTGTACTAAAGGCTACACAATATTTAAAGACAGAGTTATTTTGAGAAAAAGAATATTGCGTCTATCCTGCCTTCTCTCTCTCTCCCTCTCTCAAAAGGCTAAAGTTGGTATCCAAATGTTTACCTTGGGAATAGATTGCAGGGGCACATACTTCGTAGGTTTCATTTGCGAAATCATTAATCACACAATGATATGTGAAATTTCCTGGTGGGACACAAGTTTGAATTTCAGCAAGGCTCTTGCAATCTTTTCTTTTTGTAGCCTTTTCTAATTCCTCTTCGGTTGTAGGACACATTGAAACCATTTGCAGAGTTGGAAGGGAAACATTGCAACTTGTCAGTACTACCTCACTAATCTAAAAAAAAAATATATGGAAAACAGATATGTATTCAATGAAATCTATAAAATCAGAGAGATACTATGAAAACATGTGTATGTTAAATTTGTGTTACCTTTGTCATGAGGAGTAAATACCACGCTGTAAGTGTTACTTGGAAACACCGCTTTTTCTGCATAACTGTGAAAAAGATAGTATCACATACTAGCATTCAAACATACAAATTAAGTGGTGTCGTCACCAATTAATGTTCCTTGACATTATGGGTTCAAGTCCTGACCTAAACGGATAAAGTTATCGATAAAGTTCTTTGTTTCTAGTTTCATGTTGTTGATTTTATTAAATGAAAAAAAAAAGATCTCAGATACAAAATAGATGAAGATTCTGTCAAAAACCATGTACTATTAGCTGTTTAAACAGATTATAAGTAGCATATTATTTTGCCTACAGGATTCCTCGTACACCCTTCCCCATAAACCTTGGTGCTTTTGAATGTTTGTTATTCAAGAATTCCAATCTTAATTTTATTTATTGATTTTCTGTGTTTCGATCGGTCGAGAACAAATTTAAGACAAAGGTTACACATCGATAAATCTGTCAATCAGAACTACGGGGATATTATGTTTACATAGTTAATGTCACTGTCAGATCTTTTGTTATTATTTTTAAATCTTTGATGTTATATTATCGTCGTTCTAATGCTTAACAAATCAGCTCACTTCTCACTTCTCTCTAGCGCTAATAGAAAAGATAAACGTACCTCTTGCTGCAGTAGCATCAAATTCATAATTCTACATGCTATATTCTGTCCCGTCTTTAAACAAATCAGAGCAAATCAAATGTGTCGTCGGTATGCTATTTTCGTTTTAAAGCGTTTGTCGTTAATAGAAATCAGTCTGTTAATATCAAGGACGAATTCTTCTGAAGTCTACTTGTATTAACTATATTCGTTGGCTTAAACAATATTCGAAAAGTTTTTATAATTTAAGTTCATTGATTGTTTTGAACTTCATCGATGTTCATCAGGAATTTGTTTCATTTCCACATCGCAGCATAAAGTATTCCTACGCTGTTCAGAAATAACGGATTGTATGGTGGCTTCAAAGAGAAATAATTTTAAAACTTCGTAATTAGAATTATGAGAATTAACGTTCTTTTTTGAAAATTTATCGATGTGTGAACTCATGCCTTTGTACTCACAAACTCCACATCAAAGTGCTTCAAACTTTTATTCAGTTTGTGAGTACAAAGGCTTGAGTTTACACAGTGAAATTCTGTGAAAATGTGGGCAATGAAACCATGTCTATTAAGGTAGTACAAAGCACTCATGAAATCTGTTTTACCGCTTTCTTATGATTTACACAAGAAAAAAATTTCACGGTATTGTGAATAATCAAATATATTTGTATGAAAAATTATAAGCTGTGACATGTTTTCGCGATATTTTGTTAAAAATATATAGACATACTATATATTGGCCACTTGGGACCTTCACTTTAGAATATATTTATGCTGCCTAAATGCAAAATAATGCAAAGTAACTTTTCATCCATAAAAAGTAAAGGCCTGATATAACGAATCTCTATTCCTTATACGTAAAATAAGGGCCGTAGTCATATTAAGACTACGCCTTCTACTGAATATTCTAACTTTTCTTGGCTTAAATTCCTTTTTAATTGCCAAAATATCTGAAACTCTGAAACTGCTGGTTCAATTTTCTACATTTTGACAAATTCATTTCAATCATTTTTGTTGAGTTTTTGTAAAAAAAAAAGACTTACACCTTTAAGAGAACTTTATGTGTAGTATATTTACATATGAATTTTCAATACCTGGACTATATATGTTCTATTTTAACATCACATTTTACTCAAGTTTACCGGTAGGAATATATTTTACTGGATTTTAGTAAAAATAAGGTTGCCTTTATAATAGCATCACACAAGTTTGCAATAGATCACTTGGTAATTTTTAGATAATGCACATTCACAAGTCGAATGTCTTTCATAATCTTCTTAAAGGAATGTGATAGGTCATATTTCAAACCATGTGGGCAAAACATATGTATTGAATTTCTTCATATTACATATAAAGAGGTTTTGTACCCAAGAACAAAATATCAAAGTTTCAAAAAATTTGAATTTGAGGAAAAATTTGGTCTTTCTATTGTTTACTACCTTAATATGAACGATTTTATAACAAGGAATTATTGATTGACCTAATTTATTACTGAAAATTCCAATATTATCTATTTCTGGGATTAATATGGAAATAGTACTATTTCAGTAGAAATATAGTACTTTAAAATTGTTTTGGAAAACTAAGTTAAGCTATTTCTTGTCATATAAATATTTGAGGCTTTTGTGAAACATGGGAAGTTTATTTCAAATTCAAATGGAAATATTTAAGTAAATCGCTTTTTGTCTGTATACGGGTTAAAGATCAATCACAGGTAACGAACACAAAAGGAGACGGCTAAAAAAATGCAGTATAGACTAAAATAACATAGGTCTTATTACACAGAATTAAATCATTCCATCGTAGCAAACAGCTCCTTTTTCAACACCATATAATATCAACGGATGAATAAAATTGAAATAAAATGGAGATATCATTATTACATTCTGAAACACGAACGCAGCTATGTTATTGTTTTCCGAAGCTTTGAAGTGCATTTAGATATATCTTTACATTGCAAAGTGTTACACAAAATCACTTCCGCGTAGGTGATTATCACAGTAAGTACTTTTTGTTACATCGTATCTTAGTGTATCTGAAAAAGTGATGAAAAAAAAGAAACATATTTTATCAGAAGTTCAACTTACTCAAACATTCGAGGATACCCCAATGGTCAACAAAATTCATATGAAAATTATGTCATTACAAATTTTCCAAAGCAAATCCTTAATCACGTACATATTTAAGCCCCCTCACATGCCCCCTTATGAATATCTTTAATCTTTTCTGATTCGGTCTAACACTTCTTCACTCCATTTTCCTTATTTTTATTCAAATGATAATAATTATTATGTCCTTAAAGAAACGAAAGTCTATCGTGCAGTATCTTGTCCTAGATAATAAACACGTGCACCTACTGTTGAATGTCATACTGAGGAATGTATATCTGAAGCGCTCTCTTTCCAGTCCATTACATTCAGCATTTACAATTACTTAAAGTGACACTTTGACGGACCAACGGGAAAATTGACAACAGTAGAATTTTTGCATGACACATGCAAATTTTGTTCAGTTCTTGAAGATATTAAGTTTCAGAAAATAACAGGTTTCAGAACCTAAAAAATCTAATTTAATGGAGAAAAATAAGAGTAAAAAAATCTTGGTATAACCCATCACAAAAATATTGCTTCACGTCTTCCTCCTTATTGTACGCATGCGCTGAAAAGTCGAAGAATTTACTATGGTTTCAATTCCATAGATATAAATGATGGATGACTGAGAATTTTGATACAATCTTCAAAAAAGATTATCATAACTTATCCCTTACTTCTGCTTGCCCCAATTCAATGTTGTTTACAAGTTTCACGCTAAATATAAAGGACGCATGACCTTGACATTGTTCACATTGACGATAAAAACAAAGCGATAGATACAACATTTGTTTTTCCGGGACTTATATTTTGCAGTTTTTTTCCTTGCTTTACAGTGCAGTTGAGTTGTCAAAACTTCGCTATATTCATATTTCACAGAAATCTTTTGTTTTCTGATACAATTTTCTTAAAAAAAACACATGGTTTTGACTCATTATGCAACTTTAAGTTAGAATAAGATAAATTACAAACCTTAAAACCTTTAAGAAGATCTTCTTCAGCATGTAACAATGATGAAAAGTCGCTTTTTAAATAAATCGTTGAAAGTCATTGTAGTTTTGTTCCGCAGCATGGATTTCGTCAGGTGTGCACCAGCATACATTACAGGCTATGATTTACGTTCATAAACACCATTGTCATATAAGTGGTTAAATAAGCATTTGAATCTCGAAGACCCTTGTAACTAGGAGGCAAGTATTGCGCCATTTCCAAGGTTTAAATGAAAGGTACTTATTACTGTTGATAATTTTATTACTGGGTGGCGCATAGGACATCTACACTTATATCATTAAGAAAAAAAATTCAAAACCAAAAAAAAAAAAAAAAAAAAAAAAAAAAAAAAAAAAAAAAAAAAAAAATCCTAACTCTGAGATGCACGAAAAAACGAAAATAAATATCTAAACTCGATATATTTATTTAAAAAGGTGGGAGTGGGGTGGGGTAGGGTTGGGGGCGTTAGACAAAAAATAGAAAAAAATGGCATAAAAAGTTATAGGTAGTGACCCCCCCCCCTCCCCTTTTACTACATGTTTGATATGAAATGAACAGTTGTACATATTTTTGAGCCTCTTAAGTTCATGTAAAGTCAGACGATACGTTCCTCAAATATCTGTTTTGCATATCTTCGTATTGTGTGGAAAATATTCAAAATTTTAATTACCTTCTGATTTCTAAACTGGTTTCTAATTGTCTTTAAAAAATGAAACACTAAAAAATGTGTTATTGGCTAATTAAGTTTTTATCAAAAGAATTTTACAGGAAACAGCATCCTCTGGTATCTTGCACAAATGCCTGGTAAGGTACCTCAATTTTTTACGAGTAAACATGTTAAAGTAGCAATACTTCAATGACAAAATCTTAGAAAAAAAATATATTATTGAGGAACGTATCTTTTGTCCTTATCTTTAGGAGAAATCTTAAGATATGCCTTTAGTTAGGACAAATTCAAAGGCCTCAGTTTGGACAAAGATATTTCTTAAGATACATATGTATGTGTTAGTTCTAAGATGTTATTATATACATGTATGTAGATACTTGATTCCACTACTTATCTATCAAATAAATAATAAGTTTCTAATCTTAAGGTAATATAGAAAAAAAGATGCCAAGGCATAAAGATTTCAAAATGTAGATTTCAACGTATCAATGAAAAAATGTGTTCTTGTAATAACGTATAGAGAAATATACTGATTACAAACAAAATAGTCTAATCTTTTTTTGTGATTTATGCATGTACATGTATAGATAAATATTTCTTTTTAATTTTTTTCTAATGTAGACAGAAAAAGATAGTCACTGTTTTCTTACAGACTGATACATGTATGAATTAAATTTCCTAGGAAGTCTTGATTACTTGG